GGAGGGCGATAGACTGAAATTCGGGCTAATTAGATTCTTAAAGTGCTAACGAGGTAGTTAGTGGTTAATGAGAGACAGAGGTCGTTACCACAGCAATATTTGAGGTGAGGGGGAGATAGGGGAATATGGGGACAGCGAGACAGATTGGGAGAGAGAGAGAGAGAGAGAGAGAGAGAGAGAGAGAGAGAGAGAGAGAGCAGTACGAGAAGGTGAGAGAGAGTGAGTGAGTAAGAGTGAAGGAATGAGTCGATACATTGTTACTTGACTGTGGGTCGTGAGTCAGAGGAAGTGGGTCGGTCACCTTACCATTGATTCTGACATAAGTTACACAGCTCACGACTAACACCGCCTTAGACATGCTGAACCATTGATTTTGATATTGAATTTGATACATTTATTTTCTTGCTTGGAATTTTGAGTTATAATTTTTTATATATATATTTTTTATATGTTGATTTTGAGGTAATTGACTTTGATTTAGAAATTTTGATTCGTGTTCTGAGTTGGTTTAAATTTTGTTTTGTTAATTATTTTTTTTTTAGGTCATGAGTTTATGAAAGATTGTGGGTTCGATTTTGACTTGATTTTCAAGATTAGTCTCTCTCTCTCTCTCTCTCTCTCTCTCTCTCTCTCTCTCATCATTTCTTCCTTTCGTCTGACCTCATCTCACCCTTCCTTCCTTCCTTTCTCCCCCTTCTCTTCTTTCTTCCCTCCCTCTCTTCTTTCCATCCCTCCCTCCCTCCCTCAATACTCTTCTTCCTTCCAATCTTCCCTCCCTCCCTCTCTCCCTTATAGTCTATGATGACCACTTAATGTTAGTCATCCCAGCTGGGGGTTGCTAGGTGACCATGGATGCTGAGCTCTAAGGGGAGATTATTGGCCTCTTCCCCATCTCCCCTATCCCTCCCATCACCCTCCCCCTTTCTCTCCCCCATTGCTCCATCTACCCTTTCAATCCATCTATCTATTCCCCATGCCTTTATCTCTCTCTCCTTATCCCCATCCTTCTTCTTCTTCTCATCTCTCTTTATTCACTCTTTGTCTAACCCCTCAGTCTATCACACACCCGCACAGACACCCGGCTACAAGTTCGAGCCTCTGAGTATGAGACTTGTGATATAGGGAAGCAGTAGCCAGACACTCACTTATCTGGTAACAGTGTAAGAGAGAGGGGGGGGGGTGTTATGAGAGTTGATGACGTCACAATAACAATAGCCAATCATTGTACGTCTGTCTCTCATCCTCCTGCTCAAACTATCGTTAAACTCGTTATGTCGTTGACCTGATAACGAGCGGGCCCAATCACTTTTGACGATAATGAGGCAAACGACCCATTGTAAAGTTGAGGTAGTTAAGATAGGTTGAGCATATAAGTGTCACTGGAGTAATTTGTAAGTGTTATAAGTGTACCGTCGTTGTAGTAGTGGGTAAGTGTTTGTTGGTAACATACCGGAGCTGGCCTGGTCACGTAGGAGGGGTATTGATTATTATATTGTGAGGTATTTGGGGCATGGTGGAGGGTAGGGAGGAAGGTGGAGGGTAGGGAGGAGGGTAGGGAGGAAGGGGGAGGGAGGAAGGGGTGGAGGTAGGAGGAGGGTAGGAGGACGGGAGGGTAGGGTGGAGGGTAGGGAGGAGGTAGGGAGGAAGGTTGGAGGTAGGAGGAAGGTGGAGGGTAGGGAGGTAGGAGGAAGGTGGAGGGTAGAGGAAAGGTGGAGGAGGGAGGAAGGTGGAGGGCAGGAGGAAGGTGGAGGGCAGGGAGGGTGGAGAGTAGGGAGGGAAGGGGTGGAGGGGGGAGGAAGGTGGAGGGCAGGGAGAGGTGGAGGTAGGTGGGGAGAGGGGAGGGTGGAAGGGAGGGAAGAGGTGGGAGGAAGGTGGAGGGAGGAAGGTGGAGGGCAGGGTGGAGGGTAGGAGGAAGGTGGAGGGTAGGGAGGAAGGTGGAGGTTAGGGAGGAAGGTGGAGGGTAGGGAGGAGGGAGGTGGAGGGGGAGGAAGGTGGAGGGTAGGGAGGAAGGTGGAGGGTAGGGAGGAAGGTGGAGGGTAGGGAGGAGGGAGGGAAGGGTATGGAGGTTAGCAGACAGGGAGGAAGGAAGGCAAGGAGGGAGCAAAGAGGGAAGGAGGTAAGGAAGGAAGAGAAAGAGATAGGAGAAGAAAGGAAAGGAAGGAGATAGGAAGAAAGGAAGGGAAGGTGGTGATGGAAAAGGGGAAAAACAGACAGACAGACAGGCAGATAGACAAAAAGTAAACGGTAAACATAACTAACTATCAATTAATCCAAGTATCAACATTGACCGTGAGTTAACAAGTTGGTCTAGTGTTTAATAATAATGTTCAGAGGTTAAGTTACCAGCTGAGAAGTGTTTTATAGCAGGAGTTACGAGGCCATAAACCACCTCAGTAAAGAACCGTCTTACGTACCCGTGAGAGCTACGGCAAGATTACCTATATACTGTTAATGAATAAGATCTATTCCTTTGTGTATGAACCTCTGTCCTGCGTGGCAGTGAGAAGTGATGCCACCCTCAGTGTCAAGACCTGACTGAATTACTCATAATAGGCAAACTGTACTACAAGCTTTGTCAATAAATTTGGTAAACTAAAAAAAAAAATACACACGATAAATTATACTGCTCAGGGTTTTACCGTCTAGGTGTGTGTATCTGTTTATACTGGTAAGTGACCAAAACCTCTTGTACGGGGTGTTGTGATGCGTTGTGGCGTGATGTGTTGTGTGGTGGTGGAGTGTTGTGGTAAGGTGTTGTGTGTGTGTGTGTGTGTGTGTGTGTGTGTGTGTGTGTGTGTGTGTGTGTGTGTGTGTGTGTGTGTGTGTGTGTGTGTGTGTGTGTGTGTGTGTGTGTGTGTGTGTGGCTCTACCAAAAACTAACTAAACTGAAAAGTGAGGATCTTTGAACTGATCTTGCAGCACACGTATTCAGCTCACCTGCACCTCTGAGCCACGCCTTAGATGACAGGGAGTTGATGCGTGGTGGGTGTGCAGACGTGGGGGCGTGTGGGCGTCTGTATATAATGAGTACTTCTTTCAGGTATATGTGTGATTGTTTCATATTTTTTTGTATAAGTAAAGGTAAAAAATACATAAAAAACGACAAACAAGGACACATAGAACAGAACAGACAGGGAGGTAACACACACACACACACACAAGATTATATTCGTCTCAAGACTCGAGCAGTCAGCAGGCGCCCCCCCCCCTGTCAAAGATGCTCTGTCCTTACCTCACAGCTGGTCACGTCTGGCTTCACTTAGGGTCATGGCTTCACTTAGAGGTTAATGGCTTCACTTTGAGGTTAATGGCTTCACTTAGAGGTTAATAGCTTCAATTCGGGGTTTATGGCTTCACTGAGAGGTTAATGGCTTCACCTAGGGGCTCATGGCTTCTTGACAGGATGATGGTTTAACCCTTTATGGATTGTCTTAACGCTCTACGGAAGTTAGTTTAACCATCGGTGACTTAACCCCTTAAGGACTAAGAGAGAGAGAGAGAGAGAGAGAGAGAGAGAGAGAGATCCCTCACCACAAGCATCACCCCTCCCCCTTCCGCCACTCACTCAATTGACCTTTTGACTTGACCCGATCGCCTGTGTGGCAGCAGCAAAAGGAGGGTGGGGGTCACAGGTCAATCCACTCCTGCACCTGACCTCTGATGACCTCCTTCAACTCCCTCCTGACCCCTCCTAAGATCATTTCTGAGAAGCCATTGTCCATTTTGTGTCTCTTGTTACATAAGGTAAATAAAATAGTTTATTAATGCTGTGTCTGGCCTCTGTCTATGATGATGATGATGACAGTGATTATGATAATGAAGATAACATTAATAGTGATGACGATAATAATGATGATTAATGATGATCATACAGTAGACTACCTCAACATCTTGTCCCCCCCCACCCAATCCCCACTCATCACCCGAGGCTCTTTCAACCAGTCAGAAGACCCACTCAGACCACTCAAGAGCCTTATCCTTCCCTGCCTGTCAAGACTTCAGAGTGGGGAGGGAGTGGGGTTGAGAGGGGTGGTGGGGGAAGGGTGTATGTTGGGCTAAAGATATGGTGTGGTAGTGATCTGGTAGTGGAGTGGTGTTTTGATATAATGTGGTGGTGGTGTGATGTGTGGTTATGGTGTGATCTAGCAGTAGTGGCAGTGGTGTGGTGTTTGGATATGGTATGATGGTGGTGTGGCTATGGTGTGGTGTGTGGATAATAATTTTTTAAAAGTGTTTCTCCAAAAATAGAAATTTACTAACCTGTCTAATTTTTTCGTCTCTTCTTCTTCTACCTCCTCCTCTTTCTACCTACTTCCTCTTCCTTCTTCTACCTACTTCCTCTTCCTTCTTCTACCTCCTCTTCCTTCTTCTACCTACCTCCTCCTCCTCCTCCGGGCACTTAAGGGTCACGCCCCGGCCTTGATAAGCTAACTGGTGGTCACAGAGACACATTGTCAGGCCCGCATACCGTAGACCCCCCTGGCTTGTCCGCTCTTACAAACGCATATATATACATGGACGTGCAAAAATATACATACACACGCTCTCTCATCAACTCATACACGTATACATATACTCACACACTTATATATACGCATGCACTCACTTACCTGTACACACTCACTCACACACACACACACACACACACACCAACATGAGCCAAAAGCCGATTTATTTATATTGTAACCAAGAAGATCTTCAGTAGAAATATAAAATTGAACCACAGGAATGTTGTGAGGAAACTACAGGAAGACGGTGTGGGTTTTGGTGTATAGTGTGGATTATGGAATTAAGGCTCTGGATTATCTATGTGATTGTATTATCAAAAACTATTTATATTATTGTTTTATTATTATTATAGGTTGAAATATAAATTACAGGAACAATAATGTCAGTGACTGTGTCGTAATGTTGATGACTTCAAGTGAATGTATTAACTGTGTATTATTGTGAGGTTATGAGAGTCGACCTAACCAGACATCTTCCTCTCCCTCCCACAGTGACCATGACGTGACGCGGCTACCTGACGAAGCGGGTCCTGGGGGCCGTCGACGTCGCTCCAGACATCACCGGGGGCACACCATGGGGCGGTACGACCCATCCTCCGAACCCATTACACCCACGGCGCCCTTGAGTCTCGAGGTGGAGGTGGGCGGGTATCTCCCCAGTGGTCCTAGGAGCTTAGAAACTGAGTCATATGCCCCCAGTGCCCCACCCATCCTAGACATGCCCCCGACTACAACTACTATCCCTCGTCCCTGTTTTACCTCCCGTAGTCAACTCGCTCGTCGTCATAGCAGTACCTTCCCTACCCAGACTGCCAGTACCTCACCAGATGGAGGAGGAGGAAGAGAGAGAGGAGCGACAGAGAGGAGAAACCGTCATAGATCTGATCACGTTCCCAACGTCACTAACAACAATAACAATAACAGTAGCAGTAATAACAATGACAGTAATGCCAACAACAACAGTAGCAGCAGCAGTAGTAGTGACGTACCCGACAGCAGTTCCGGTACTGAGGGAGGCCACAGGAACAGCGAGAGCAACAGTGCCGAGGGGGTGAGCAGGACTAGCAACAGCCTCGGTAACAACAGCAGCAGCGACATGAGTACCCGAGGCAACAGTGAGGTGACCAGCAACACCAGCGACGGTCACCACAGAAACAGTAGCGTCACCAGCCTCAGTGAGGAAAGCAACAGAAACAATAACAGCAGTGAAGGAAGCAACAGAAACAATAACAGCAGTGAAGGAAGTAACAGAAACAATAATGGTAGTGAAGGAAGCAACAGAAACAACAGTGGAGGAGGAGCCAACAGAACTAACAACAGTGGTACCCAGAGCCCAAGAAGGAATGCCTTTGCAGGTCAGTTTCTTTGTGTGTTCCTTGTGTTTGTCAGTGTTCACCTCTCCTCTTCCATGACTCCCTCGTAAATCTTTATATCATTATTATATTTTCCCTTCAACAAATTCACACATTGACATAGGTGTTAATAGTAAAATATATTCTTTGATCGATCCAGTGAGCAGCAAGTCACCAGTGAAATATAAAACTATCATTCAGAATTGTTTATCCACGTCAAGCGGTTCAAGTCAATGATGCAAGACACAAGTTGGTCAGCCATTTAATATTTGGGTAATGTAATGACGTCAGCAAGATTATATTATTTACATTCGATTACTTAACCAGAAATCCGTGTCCAATACTACAAAGAGTCGGACCTGTTTGGGGTGGGGGGGTCAGGTATAGAGGGTGTGAAACAGGCTTATAGATTTTGTAAATGTCTTCGGATCACACGAACATCAGACACCCCAGCTTATTTCCTCCTGATGATTGAACACCTTAACGCTAACCTAATCTAACCTTAACTCCTCCAGGTAACTTTAGGTTATTTAATCATTAGGTGCAATAGGTGCCTAATCTCTAATCTACACGTAATTCATTTAGTCATTGTGTACTTTAGTTTGGCCCTAATTGGCTTCAGTTTTTTATCGTGTGGCGGATAAAATAGTACGTCATCTCGGCCTGTTAATTATTCCACCATGTTTTGTCTTGATTTTAACCAGTTGCCCTCCCCTTCTTCCTCCTCCTCAGCTTAGACTTATCATTATTTACCCTATGTTTTAGCTCTCTCCTCCTCCTCGTGGCCAGGTATAGGCGTGGAGGGTGAACGTGCTCGGCTACAGGGAGGGACGTGGGGTCACTCACACTCAGGGCTGATGGCCTCTCTCGCCGTCACCGTCACCACCTTCAACATCTCAAGGTTCGCGGTCCTCGGAGCCAGGTTTGGATGTGAGTTTTTGGTACATGTTGTTGTTGTTGATGATGTTGATGTTTTTGTTGATGATGTTATTGTTGCTGATATTATTATTGTTGTGATATTTTATCCTGAGTGATAGCTCTGTGATGACGTCTTTACAGAGTCGTTTATAATACTAATTTGATTATTACTATGTAGAGTCTTTCATAATGTTAATAAACTCTCAATCTCTATGTACTGAATGTTTATCTATCTGTCTCTTTTTCTATGTCCCACCCCTTTCTCTCTTATCTATCTAATAATCTCTCTCACTCAGGGCCGTTCGTGGTACAGTGGGTGGTGGTGTCGATGGTGCTGGGACTGCCTCTGATGACCTTCCACATGACGGTTGGGCAGTACCTGGGGGCCGGTGTGGTCGACATGTGGAGGATCTCACCTATATTCCAGGTAAGAGAGAGACAGGTGGATGGATAGACAGGCAGACAAACAGATAGATTGATGTTTTGACAGATAGATAGACACACGGACAGTCAAGTTAACCACAAGAAGCTTAGATTATTTAAGTTTGGTTGTAGTAGACTTTAAGCTTAAAGGGTTATTAAACTGAACTGACAGCTTTGTTGACAGTAGTTCTCTTGGTCGCTGTTATTATTATTATTATTATTATTATTATTATTATTATTATTATTATTATTATTATTATTATTATTATTATTACAGATAAGGAAACAAGTGCCGGGATACCTCGTGTGTCGATCTGTTTAATTGATACAATAATAATGATGATAACTATAAACTTCTATTTTATAAGTATTTTATCACTCGAAAATCAGACACTAACTCTCAGCTGAAAGACCGTAAACAAACTCCCAGAGACTGAGAAGCTCCAAACCTTAATACCTTGGCCAATAGCAACAAACTTATGTCATCAAGAGCCAATTACAGCTCGAACAGTCTTCTCCTATTTGCCAATCACAGGCGGGAATGCTCTCTTGTCCAAGACGGTAAATTTGAACGTCAGTGGCGCAAAATAAAAACAGTAATTAGATCTAAAATGATGATCGCCAGCCGGAAAACCTCTTTAATGTTTCAACTCGCCCGCCAGGATTTTTTATTGCCAGTGGCGACCGGACTGGCTATTTTGTGCTAGTCTAATAGATCTATTAGAGAAAGTGTTTATATTTTTGTAACGAATTTTGTGGGCCTATTTTTTTCTTGTGAGCCTGGAGCTACAACCTCATCACCCCATTAGCATTCCGCCTCTGGGTGTATTTTATATTGTCTTTCACAGCGACGTTTTTCCTCGTCACTCGGTACCATAATACCAGTCCTTGTGGTAGCTCACTCACAACCACAGTCCTCCTGGTCACACATTGGCTCAGCATAAACCCAACCCAACCTCTCCATGGCTTCATTACCTCCAAAACTAATGCCATTGTTATCTTAATTTAATCCATATAAAATAGTATTCAATAGACCCGTGAGGAAATGTCCGCCCACTCCAGATAGCAGCTGTGAATTGATGAGTCTGTAGTGTTAATAAGGGTCTTACCTGACTGGGTGTCTCAAAAGTCAAGTGTAGTCACCCAGGTTGTAGCGGCCTTACCACACCCTATACTATTTCCGCGTTAACCTGGCCCCATAAGCCACACCCTTCTTCTGTACTAATAACTGATTGGTTCATAGAAAATTCAAACTAAATGTGTTCACAATTGGTAAGCAGACCTGTTATTATCTAAAATATTGTTAAATATATGGATTCAAAATGCAAATCATTTCAAGGCATTAGCACTTTAGAGAGGGTGTTAGAAAATTTGAAATATTTACTATTGTGCTCACACCGATTCTTTCTTTCTTTCTTTATATATTATTTATACACTATTATTTACTCAGACCTTTATGTCGATTCTGTTGCCCTTTTTATCGGATTCTCATTCCTTAATTATTCAAAAGTTCAGACCATTGCTGATTTGTCCGCGGAATGGCTTCTGATGAGAAGTATGAACTCTCATCTTCTAACCAAACACTGGCGCTGTAATGAGCAGTACAGCGTGATCACCAGTTAATACGGTCAGTTGGTTCGTCAACGGTGGCTTATTGACACAGTTCACGTTCTCATGTTCACGTCCGTTTGATTTCGCTTCGTGTGAACTGTGTGTAAAGGGTGTTTACAAAGTCCCTTGATGTTCCTTGATGTCTGTCAATACTATCCCCTGAGGAAGTTACACACATAGAACATAGGATTGTACTCGTAGTTTTATGCACAACGCTATATTATTTACCATATCTGCAAGTCTAGGTTACAGCGGACATGGTGAAGACTACAGTAATACCCAGAAAATTATTTAGTACAGAACATCCTTTATGATGTGTGTAACTCGGTCCTGTAATTCTGTAAACGAAAAAAAAACAACTATGGACTTTGTAAACAGCCTCTACATGCCATGGCGTCTTGGTGAACTGGCAATACTGTACGTATAGTAAACTGACGGACGAATCGTTGACCGAATTTAGAAATGATTAGAGAGAGAAATTATAGGAACTTAACTGAACCAGCTATGTCAGGGTATTGCCTAGGAAACTAAACGGGAATTGAATAAGACCTTCCTTCTTCACTCCCATCACCACCTCATTATAGTATAGCAAGTGCCTTCTACAACACCCTCACCTCACCTCTCACCCTGCCCTTTACCCACGCTCCTCAACGAGATAGTCATGTGCAATAGTTAGAGGAAGTGAAAGGTGCGGAAGTTAGCAGATGAAAAAAAAAAAAACAATTATATAGACATGAACGTAAAGGAAGAGGAAAATGATGGAAACTTGGTATTAAGAAGTTTACAATGTGAGAAGTTACTACGTCTCTATCTACAGTGCTGGCTGGTCGAAAAGTCCCTGTGTACCTAGAGTTGTTATTTAGTTGAACAAGGTAAAATAACTCTCCTGTATCGTTGAGTAAAGTGGGTACACAGGGAATTTTCAATCAACTGTAAAACACACACACACACACACACACACACACACACACCATCCATCCATCAACAACACATTCTACTTATTTATACTCTATGCCATACTCACCTGAACCTAACCTAACCCTACCTAACCCTACCACACCCTAACTAAGTAAACGAAACAACCGGAATTAAGTTTGGAAAATTCGAGTCTTGATTCGTTGACTGATGAGGATGGAAGTGAGTGATGAGGGTGGAGTTGAGTGATGAGGGTGGAAGTGAATGATGAGGGTGGAGTTGAGTGATGAAGATAGGAAGCAAGTCACTGAGTATTGAAGGGAGGAGATGACTGAATGGGGGGGAGGTGAGGGAAGGGGGGTGGAGGTGAGGGAGAGGGAAGGAAGCAAGTCACTGGGTATTGAGGATGACGGGTGAGGCGAGCAGACCACCACACCTCACCAAGGTTAAGACCCCTTCAAATATTTACCTGCCTAGATGGTCTGTGTTCTCCTACACACCTGTCACTCCCGGGGGGGCTAAGATTGGGGGAGAGACAAAGAAAGTTGTGAGAGATTGAGTAAGAGATAGAGAGAGAGAGTTTGTGTGTGAGTGAGAGACTGTGAGAAATATAGAGAGAGTGAAAGAGAAATAGAAGCTTTGACATATAGAGTGAGTGAGAGACCAGCTTTGAGATATAGAAAGGTGAGAGATTGGCTTTAAGAGATTGAGAGGTAGAGAGAGAAGCTGTGAGTAATTGAGAGATGGGCTGTGAGAGAATGAGAGTATGAGAGAGGTTGAGTTAGAGTAAGCGAGAGAATGCTTGAGAGAGAGAGGCTCTGTGTAAGAGGAAAGAAAGAGGTGGGGGGGGGTAAGGAATCATCGGTGTGTATGTGTTTCTGATAGATATATATATAAAGGGAAAGTTATTTCTCAATATAAAAGGGACATATGCACGTGTGTATAATGAGCGTGCCAGTGCATCTTAAAACAATATACCTACAACACTTGCCACAAAGACCGACAGACTGACAGACAGCTGCCGACAGCCTTACACACAGTTCCGGTGAGCGCCCAAAGCCGACAGTCCCCCATTGGCGTAACCAGGATGGTGGCGCCAACTGTAAACACGACCATTAGCGAGAACCAAGGCGTTCGTGACTCTAGTCGGATTAGCGAGGCGTGATAGCAGACGTCTCACGGCTGCCGTTTGCACATGTGCATACAACTCTAATAGGATTTATATTTGTTTTGAAAGCTGGAGAAACTTAGAAGTCTAATTATATGTTACGTCAGATCTTCTCTCCGCGTGAAAGTTGGATTGATTCTTGAGATGTGTCTCTCTCGTGATAGAGATGGGCTATTTGATTGAGTATTTAGTAGAATGAAATAGAACAGGTTTCAAGAGAGAAGAAAATGAGGAATATTCATTTCTAAAGATAGAAAAGAGAGAAAGAATGTTTATATCCACTTAAATATTAAGACAAGGATATACGAGTATACTTGTTGAGAAAGAGAGTTCTGTTCTGAAATGAAAAAGCGTTTTGTCTTGTACACTTGTTACAAAAAGTTTATTTACGATTTTGTGAGACAATATGACACAACACACGAAGGAGGATTTTGTTAACCATACCGAGACAACAGGAGTAGCAGTTTCATTGGTGTGACCCCCCCCCCCCTCTCAAAAAAATATAGATTCCGAGTAGCTTCACCCCCCTACCCCTATATATGACGGGTGGGCTGTATCTGAACCCTCCAAAATTTTTACTTTTTTTTTAACTTTGAACTGTGTGAACGACCCTCACTGTTTGACCGTGAAAATATTATTAAATATCAGATCAAAATATACTTTCTTGAGGGTGTTTGACCTTTGACCTTATAAAACCCTTAAAAAATATCAAAATAAGAGAAACACAAAAACAAAGAAGTGACTATTAATTGTTTTCTTATGTTCTTATGTTATTGTGAAGAAATTAAGGGAGAGGACATAAGGGAAAGAATAAAACAAAGTGAAAAGAAAGAAGAATATGCGCTGTTGATGTGTCGTTAAGCTGATCATCTGGTAGTGTCGTTAAGCTGATTCTGTCGATAAGCTGGCAATATCAGTCTTTAAGCTGACCCTCTGTATCATTAAGCTGATTCTCTATATCGTTAAGCTGACGATCTCAATCTTTAAGTCGACCCTATGTATCGTTAAACTGATCCTCTGTATCGTTAAGCTGATTCTCTATATCGTGAAGCTGATCCTCTGTTTGAGTCGTGACAGTCATTCGTGGGTGATCACTGGGGGTCGTTGGTTGGGAGGGGGAGGGTGTTGAGGCTGGAGCGTGAGGCGGAGTTAACAAACAATCACTGGAATGCAACCTACAGGAACAACACGAAGGAGAGAGAGAGAGAGAGAGAGAGAGAGAGAGAGAGAGAGAGAGAGAGAGAGATATAGATAGAATGGTTGACTGGTATAGAGCGAAAGAGGTTGACAGAGAAAGGGAGAGAAGTTGACTGATGGAGAAAGAAAATTGGGATGGATTGTGGAGGGGGGGGAGGGCGCTAGTAGAGATCATCGCGTGCGTCTCCAATATCGATTTACTGCACTAATGAGACAACAGATTGGCAGTGTAGTATACCATCACGCTGGCTGACAACGACCATGGGTTTTATCTGGTGTCTAATACCGTCAATAGGAGCCATGTAATTTTATCTGAAGTGCTAGGAATCACAGCGATTTTGAACTGAAATTTAATTTTTTTATTTATTTTTTATTTATTTTTATAAATCTTGTCTCAGGCCTTTATAAAGCGTTGTTGTGTGGCACCATTCGTGTTCCTCTTCTACTTGTCGACGCGTCACAATTAGAATCATATTTAACTGCTTTCCATCTGTTAACCCATTTGTGTGTGTGTGTCTGTGTGTGTGTGTGTAAAAATTAATTGGTGAAAATGAAAGGGGGAGGGAAATTAGTTGATGCGGAGGAAGGAAAGAATAATGGGGTAGTGTTAATGGGGGGGCGATGGGGAGACATGAGGTAGTGATGAAATACGAGGAAAGGAGAAGACGATAAGAATAGAGAAATAACAGTGAGGTAGCCGAGAGATAAAGAGAAAACCATACAGGGATTAAGGAGGAAGAAACAGGTGAAGAGGGAGAAATACATAAATGAGAGAGGGTTGGATATGACAGGAATAGCCTTAATCTGACCATTCGTAACCTAACTTAATCTAGAAGTAAGCAAACCTAACTTAACGTAACATCGTGTAAACATACTTATATTTATCCCATTTCCAAACATAATTTACCCTATAGTTAACCAAACCTCTGAAACCTGTCGAGAGATGATTGTCAAGCCAACCAAGGTCCGGAGTGGGTTGTTGATATGGAAGTAAATATTTTTAAATGTTTATTTACTTAATTATTTGCGTGTTTATTGTGGACGAAGATATCAGACTTGTTTATTCAGATCACCATCAAATTATTATCTAGTAATAAATAGTCTGTTCTGAGTCGGGATGTCGAGCCAAAGAAGACTTGAAGAGTGCAAACGTCAAAACAGACACGAGGAAATTGAAAAAAAAAATATCAAACCCAAGTATTAGATAACGAGAGAAATTGAGAGAGGATTACGGTTAATGGGTAGAAAGGAGAAAGTGGGTGGTAAACCAATTTGGACTTAAATTTGTAGCTTAGAGGGAGAGGTTTTGATAGGAAAGTGTGGCTGAGTGTCCCCGCTTTACACGACATCATGGCGGTACCATTCAATTAAAAGCAGAACTTTCACGCATCTGTCTCACTTTATCGCTATATAATTTACGAGTTAGAGGTGAGTCTATCGATTATGTCTGCTTGATGAATAGAAACGTAGGAAAAAGTGAATGCCTCTGTTGCGAATGATAAGCGGTATGCTTATATTATCTGTGCACTGAGATTTGATGACTGGAATCTCATGTCTCTGATTACTTAGATACAATCACAGTATCCTCATGTGTTTGATAACTAATTTTCCTCTACAGTAGTCCCTCGTGTAGAGTGATTTGCTTCTAAACATTTGATTCTGAGCCAACATGACTTGCTTGAGCGTACAGCAGAATAGCATCGTGGGATAAGTATGGAGGAGAATTCTCTTAATCTCCGCCTCCTTTCTCTTACCACCTCACTTTCTTGGGAGTAAAGTCACACAACGGAATCTCATAGTTTCGAGCATCATTTTCTTTCCTGATTTGAGACCAACAGACCGTATCTTTTTCGATAGAATCAAAGGGCAGTTTTGACGTCAGTATAGCTTGGTTATGCAATTATCGTACCCTGACAAGCGGCGGGGAGGATATGGTAAAATTGGTATACCTATTTTTTTATTATTCATTGATTAACTGTACGATCTGTTTTTCATTATTTATTGATTAATTATTATCTTGTATGATCTAGTGTAAATCCTCGCTGTATTCCTGTATCATCTTCCTACTGCAGGGTGTGGGTTACAGTATCTTGGTGGCACAAGTGCTGGTGGGGCTCTACTGCTGTGTGCCCATCGCCTGGCTTTTCATCTTCTTTCGAGATTCCTTCATCACCCATAACAACATGTTCAGATGGGCCGACTGTCGCCGTGAGTATTGAGGCGAGAGTTGTGAGGAAGTTGTGGATAATGAGGGGGGAGTTATGAGTGTGTGAGGGAATTGTGGATAGTGAGGGGGAAGTTGTGTGTGTGTGTGTGAGAGTTGTTAGGGAGTAGTGAGGGGAGATTTGTGAGTATGTGTGGTAGTGAGGGGAGAGGTGTGTGTATGCGAGTAGTGGTTAGTGAGGAGGAATTGTGAGGGTGTGAGGGAGTTGTGGATAGTGAGATGGGGAGTTGTGGGTAGTGAGGGGGGGGGGTGTGAGAGAGGTATGAGTGACTAGGGAAGATGTGTAAATAGTGAGGTACGGCCTTTGAAATGTTATGAATGAACTGTGAGGTCATAAGTGAGCTGTGAGGAATGTTCTCTGTAGTGTTGTGACTGAGCTGTGAGGTAGAGAGACAGACGTGGAATATATTCCAACTTTTAACACGTAATGAGTGAGTTAAAATGTCTCCCTCCCTCTCTCCCTGAGCAGTGGTGAACTGTTCAGTGTTCAACAACTTCAGTACCATCATCATCGAGGGAGTTCCAAAATATTTCAAGTAAGTAAAGACGTATTAACCGTTTTAGTGTCTAATTTTATTGTATGTATTCATTGTGTGACTTTAAAACTGCATAAGCGAAAATCCTAGCTTGATACTCATCTCGTAATAATAATAATACCTTTCATTTGATCGTACCTCTCAAACTTTACCGTGGGTTCGAGTCCTGACTCGAGACAGATGTGAGAAGGTTGTTTTATCCAGTGTGACACAACCAAACAGCGTCTTCCGGGTACTTTGTTTTCCTCCTGTACTAAACACTGGACAATAAAGGCCATAACAAAGTAACAAAGGGCAGATTGACAGCCCGAACGTCTCGTAAGCTGATAATTGGTGAAATGAAAAGTTAAAATTAAATTAGAAAAATAGAAGATCATATTTCAATTGACAACTTATTTATTTAAAAATAAAATAAATTTTACATGGCTTTTCACTTTATTAGTAACTAACTCAGCGTGAATTAATAGTGAAAGTGTCTTTTCCTAAATATTGACATAATACAAATTAGTTAAAAAACGTGTTTCTACGCCAAAAAAAATCACCGCATCTAATAATAGTGATTTTTTACATGGCTTTTCACTTTATTAGTAACTAACTCAGCGTGAATTAATAGTGAAAGTGTCTTTTCCTAAATATTGACATAATACAAATTAGTTAAAAAACGTGTTTCTACGCCAAAAAAAATCACCGCATCTAATAATAGTGATTTTAATAAGCCACGTGTTACATAATCGTTATCATTTGTAAGAGATAATTAAGTATGGCATTCATTCAACAGTTTCTGCGTTTTTTCCCGTTACTGGAATTACTTTAACCTGGAGATATGATGAAAATCCCCATATTACACCACACTGTTCATTAACTCGGCTAAAAAAATATGAAAGCAGAATGGCCTAAATACACTGCCTAATCTCCACAGTTAATACTCCCGTTAATTACTGTGGTATATGTAGTTTTTTGTACCAATGTAGTTAAAAAAAAGTGAAGAGATGTACAGTAGTAATTACAGAATTAGCTCAAAATGGTAATCGCGTGATTTAGGTGAGTTAAGGCGAGCATTGCATGACTCGGCTCGTGAATCCATTTCATTATTTCAATTTTTTTCCCAGAATAATAGAGAATTTCAAATATAGGTGTTCATCAGTAGATTAATTCTATACGTTAATGGTTGTGAGTGTGACTAATTCCTCGGCACCAACTCTGAAACCCCAACTAAGCATGGTTACAGAACTTACAGCCAAGACAATATTTTATGAAAATTAGATTATGGAGCATATTAAATTTTTGGATAATATTGACGACTTTCCCAGTGCAGCCAATTTTGTTTTGATGGATATTTTCTTACTATATTTTCATTGTTTAGTTCGGATATCTTGTAACGATCTTCAAGAGTGAGGTGCTTCCCCGCCTAGAGTAGTCACTCCGTCTGGTCCCTGATGATAGGCTAGGGACTGTCAATTGATTGAAAATGTCGGCACCTCAGCTACCCTGAGAAATTACAGCGCCTGAAATTGCCTAGCATATACTACGGACGGACACGGGGGACCTAATTGAGGTGTATAAACATCTTAAAGGGCACTACTCAGTTGAGTGTCCTTACCTGGAGGTGGCAGACGTTTGCCCCGTGAAAGGTCACAGCTCAAGGTCGATGAAGCAGCAAGCCCAGAAAACTGAGGAGTAACTTTTTCGGAGTGAGAGTTGTGAACTCTTTGAACAATCTGCCAGAGAGTGTTGTTATGGCACTGAGTGTGAGTTCTTTCAAAACCAGACTTGACAAGCACTGGAGCAGGTTCAAATACATTCAGGAGACAGTGCATGCCCAGTACTTGCCAACAGTGTGTAACAGAGACGTGACCGAGTGACCGATCGCCCAAGCGGCTAACAAGCCGATCAGTGGTGAAGAGGATAAAGGTAAAAGTACCTAATATGGGCATCTTGAGGCCATGTGCACTTGATATTAGGAGGTATACAGAGGTCAATAGTAATTACCTTTTACAGGTTGACAATCCCTTATCCGAAATCTTTGGGGCCAGAGGCATTTCGGATTTCAGAATTTTTCGGTTTTCAGAATGGTTAAGTTATTTATATATATATATATATATATATATATATATATATATATATATATATATATATATATATATATATATATATATATATATATATATATATATATATATATATACGTGTATTAGCCCACCCGGGCACAAGTCACTGACCACATGGGGCCTGGGGGAACCGAAAAATAATAATAATAATAATAATAATAATAATAATAATAATAATAATAATAATTCATGGAGGTCTTAATTAGGTGTTTCTCCTTTTTGATCGTTTTTCATTCATGTATTTCTTTATTACTATTATTATTAGTATTATTTATTTTTTTTGGTGTATTTTTATTAAATTTTTATTTACTATGAATAATTATTATAATAATTATTATTACTATTAAATTCTATCTGAACCCCGATGTGGGTCCAGTGATCTATCTTGAGATTTCTGTAGAAAAAAAAAAAGTTTTGCTCACAAAAAAATCAGTTTTCAGAGCTTTTCGGAATTTCTGATAAAGGGTTGTTTGTACTGTACAAAAAACACCTGAGTACAATACTGATTTTATTATTATTATTATTATTATTATTATTATTATTACAGGTCTTGTTATTATTATTGTTGATAATACTTGTATTACTGTAAAATAGTAGTGTTCACAAAATGCTATACAGTGCTACTGTGGGGTGCGGGTTGTTTGGTTCACACTCAGGATGGGATGGAGAAAGGAAACTCACAATGTGCTCTCTGTATACATGTTGTATTGGATGTACAGTGCAGCTTGGTGCTGGGAAGGCAGCATGGTTACAAGCGTGATGTAGAGAGAGCTGGTTGGTGAGGGTCCTCAGAGGAGGACAGCTTGTGGGTTGCCATGCTCGCCAGCGGGAGCGAGGGCCGCCAGGCAGCGGCGGAGGTGGTGGTGTTGCTTGCTGCGGCTGTAGCTAGAAGAAGAGTGAGGTCACCACGAGGTCAGGTCTTTTATAGCGGAGGTAGGCATGGGTAGATAGTTGACCCTCGCTCCGTGGGCGGCGCTGGTTGACCTAGACCACGAGGCATACACTGGGGAATTGGTGGGGTCGGCTACTCAGCGACAAACAGCGTTTGTAGGGGAGAAATCCACTGCACTACATTATTGGGATCATATGAAGATCCTCCCCCCCAAACCTACTTGGGGGGGAGGATCTTCATATGATCAAGCCCAGTCGCGCTCATCTGAAGATCCACCCCCCCCTAACCTAACCTCCCCCCCCAAACCTACTTGGGGGGGAGGATCTTCATATGATCTAGCCTGGGGGGGGGGAGGATCTTCAGTTGGATACTTTGGGGGGGAAGATCTTCATATGATCCAATTATTGTATAGTACATGTACTGTACTGTATCATGAGATAGGAGTACAGTCACCTGTACTGTGCTGCTTTAACTAAATTTATTTTTGTCTAATTACAGTTCACAAGTGCTTCAGCGTGGTGAGGGGGAGTCATCTTGGCTACAGGAGTTAGGCTCGCTCAGGTTTGACATGGCCTTCAACATTGCTCTCATCTGGATCATCACCCTCATCGCTCTCAGTAGAGGTGAGCCGGTTCATATTTACATGGTATCTCCATTAGTCAGAATAATTGGTGCAAAGTGGTTTCCGGCTTTAGAGATTTCCAGGTATGGAGACAAATTTTCTCATCCCAGGAAAAAATCGTACATCCCTGGAATTTTTCCAGGCACTGGGGAAAGATTTCTGAGAGTCTAAACTATGCTTGTTGCATGGACAGATACAGATCTGTATTTATTTATGCAAACACCACTGTACATGTACAAAATATTGTAACAAAATAAAATATACCACTGTATACATTATTATACAGTACTGCTGTACTCAGCAGCAGATACTGTCGTCTTGAACTTGTGATGAATTGAAATAAGATAATGAATGTTGTGAATATGAAAATTTAGTTTAAAAATTCCTATGGTCTCCCTAGACTGCAGCCTTAAAACCATAACAGAAACAGTGTTCTTTTATTTCCACAGGTAATCAGTCATATGGAAAAGTGTGCTACATAGTGTTTCTTTTGCCTCTACTGTGCTACCTGGTAGTGTGTCTTTACCTGGCTTCCTGGACCAAAGATGATCTCTACATCAATGATGTCACAAACTTTAATGAATTTTTCATGAACAGCCGTGTGAGTATTTCTTGTAGCTGTATAGAAAAGTACTGTACTAAATATAGTGTTGGTAACAAGGTCATATACTGGACTTGTGGTAGTGCATCTACTTCTCTTTTTAAACTTAACATGCACAGCTGTGTAGCTCTGATTGTAACGGTCCGCATACTTGCCTCGCAAGCGAGTGGACCCACGTTTGATCCCTGGGCAGGGTGAAACTCTGGGCAAGTTTCTTTATGCCAATTGCCTCTGTCTACCCAGCAGCAATTGGAGTCCTGGATGTTGTTGAACGATTTGTGGATCGTGTTCATACATAATGGTTAGCCAGTGCTGTTGGCGAGTTGTCTGGTCTTCTCGGACTATTCCTTGACACTGTGTCAAACAACTTGTTAACTTAGCGTGTGGTTGTTGTGTTGATGACAGCGCCTACACCTTAAACAAATTCACGCTTAGATGGCCCAAGGGTTGACCATCCTCGACTTCAAGGGGCATCCATTATTATAATCCTAGACAGACCTAAAGTGTTAATCCAGTATTGTAATTTGAGCCATTTTCTATACAGTAGTGAACTTCATTCTTTGTGATAAGATATTAGGTTGACATATATTTATAGACCTCCTTACCCAGACTGTCTGTGATGAATACAATACTAGTCATATTGTGATTATGAAGCAAGTTGATGTGAAGTCTATTGTTTGAATACAGTACTGTACAGAAGTCTTGTCTTGGTTCATTTGTAATGATTGAAGCTTTTGATCATCCATTTTAATGGTAGATACAGTAGTTTAGTTCAGTGTTATTAATACTTGTAATCAGTTTCAAAATACGTCACTGTTACTACCTTAAAGTTCTGACTAAAGCCTTTTCTATTGTTGATTATATTTTTAAGATAATTCCTGTCTTTATATTCTTGTCCTTATCCTGGCCCTAATACTGTTCTTTTGTAATGAACATAAAATTGTACAGTATTGTACAGTTGTTGTGCAACAAGCACCATCCATAATTGTGATCTGATTCTGTATTCGTGGAATTTTGTAGAGAAAAGTAGGTGCAGCTCCCTTGTCTTAGTTTTTTAAAAGTTTATTACACATTCAACAAAAAACAATACCTTACAGAATTGTCTGGTAACAGCTTCAAATAATATACAGTATTCAACTTTTTTCTAACCTCAGAATCTCTGTCATGATTTTGTTGTGTTATTCCTGTCTTGTTCCCATTATAGTACAGGTACCTCAATTCTGTACAGTATATTGTCAGATCGGGTTCAAATGTATTATTGCACATTTGTACACTTAGATGTCTATTACAGTTAAATAAAATATTCATGTAAGGAAGGGAACTATATGAATTTACCTGTTAATGTTTCCCAAGTTTCTTAATAGAATACTGTATTGAAATCTGTACTGTACTCCTGTCCTTATGATTTGGACTAAAAGGGAATTTGTTCTTGCAGTCATGGATGGCAGCTAGTCGAGAAGTGTTCCTAGTCTGGGGTTTTCACGGGGCAGTTCTACAGCAAATGGCAGCCCATAATAAGTATGTTTACAGTATATGTCATTAAACATCAATATGTTGTAGGTTTGGTGATCCTCTTTATTTTTATTTTTTTAAGAATACTTGTATGTACTGTACTAAAATATTTAGGTAGATACTTCTGGTCTCATAAAATTGCTACATACATGTGATACTGGATAATTACAATACAGTCCCGTACAGTACCTTACAGTGTACTTGAAAAAAAAAAAAAAAATTGTGGATTTGTATTTTGACCATATAATTATCACTAGCAAAGTTGAGGTACAGAATGGCTAATGTACTGAGCAAACTTTAATGTCAGCATTCGGTTAAAAATAAATTTAATTAATTTTCAGGAGAGGTCATGCTCTATACAGAGATACAACAATAGTGTCAGTTATCACAACCCTGGTGCTAGTACTGGCAGCTGTCACCGGTTCATCGTGTGTGTCGGGGCTCCTCCAAAGTAACTTGCACTACAAACCATCCTCTTTTGGTAAGATGTATTTTGTGGGGTGGTAGGTTTTGTTTCATCCTGGTATATCAGGAGCAAATGACTCTTTAAGTGTATGGTAATTTATATGCAGTTGCAGACAAAGTTCCCAGAACACTTGACAATATCTGACATCTACTTATGGGTCACATTAATATGATTGCTTTTATATCTAATAATGCTTCTTTTCATCACAGATTATGTCAAAACCACAAAATGAAAAACAAAACTCTTTAATACTGTAAAAGGAAAACTGAGAAATATGTTAAAAGTCCAATCCCACTCACTTACCGTAATGATCCGCAGTACTTACATACCAGATATTGTACTGCCAAGTGTCCAGGGAATTTTGTCCACAACTGTACATACCAACTGGGGAATATCGCATCATTATACCAAATTTTATCGCAGTGTACTGTATTTCTGTCTGCATTTCACCAGAACACTAAAATGAATTTTAATTTCCTTGCAGAGAATGCGAAGAATGCGCAGTTCCTGACCGAATCGAAAGTTCAACACAAAATGATGCCTGTATTTGAAACTTTTCTTAAGCATCCACACATGGGAAACTTACCACCCCAGAGACTTGCTGAGTACATGTATCATGATAACTTTTATGCAGGGATCAGAATACGACCACCAAAAATTGGCAGTGGTATGATCTGTCTTTTTTTCAGTTTGTTTATACATATCATTCAGTATTTACTCAATTTTTTTTTACACTGTTTTATCTTCCAATTACATTTCACATTCAGTATGCAATTTTAGTTGTTATGCATGATTAAGTGTAATTAATATTTAAATTAATACCTGTAGTGATATTGAATTATTCTCCCATTTCTTAATGAAAATCTAAAAAAAAATAATATTCAATCCTCAGTGAAGAGAACAGAAGCGGAGGAGCAGAGTGGGTACCAGAGTCTGCGTCTGGCCACAGAATTGTTCCCAGCTCTCCTGGCTGCCAATGGGGCTCAGCAGATCTCACCATTCTGGTCATCATTATTCTACTTGAGTTTATTACTTTTTGGGATTGCTCAGCAGGTAATGCTTTAAACTTAACTTTGATTATTGTAAAGGTAAACAGTATTGTAATATCCTAACACTTTCTGCTTGAATATAACTAGGAAAATTAAGAGTAAAAATATTGCTTTCCATTGAGGTCTTCAATTAATACAGGTCATGATCTAAAGAGTGGGTTTCACTGATGCTGTCATTATCAATGAGCTGGATTTTCAGGTTATTATATGACCATGTTCTCTTATATGGTAATTGAATGTTGATGAGGTTCTCACATCTACAGTATATCAAAACACTGTCAACATATCACACTTTCCTCATATAGCAGGCTTCAAGTTCAAATTATAGGTTTTTTCCCCACCCCATTAACAACATTGTCAACCTAAGGTACTTAATTAACAGTAATTTATTTGATAAGTTTACCTGTAGTTTACCATTAATTTTCATGTCTCACTGAGAATTTGTACCAACTTTTTTCATAATTTTTTAGTCATATTGTAGGGACCTTATTACAGGGTCAGTTGTTAATCCCAAATTTTTTAGATCAAAATCAGACCCCTCAAATTATGTTGCTGATAATGTTTTATTTAAGCACTTTTGTACAGGATCCTTTTGTGCTGAATAAAATCGTGTGGCATTAGCCAAATAAAACATAATGAGTAGCATCCTTGTAGTAAAGGGGTTAAGTTCTGTATATGGTAGCCTATACATACTGTACAGTAAACTGTAAAGTAGTGTGTCATTATTTCAAGTTTAGTGTTAGAATTGTATTTGTTATTTTGCCAAAAAAATGGGGTAAATACTTTAGTGGTATGCTCCAAGGATTCATCTGAGCTCTTTGTAAATTCCTCTTAATATTAATTTGCTCTCCTTTGAACAGCTGGCAGTGTGGCGCACAATTATAGAGGCTGTAATACGTATAAACCGTGAACGTTTACAAGCTTGGGAGACGTTCATCACTTTTCTCTGTTGTTTATTTGGGTTTTCAGCAGCCCTACCAATGGCCACTGGGGTAAGTTTTCTACCTTTTGACTTTACATCATATTCTACAAAATGACTACAGTATTGTTCACAAACTCTACATAATAGTTAACTTATTTTCATTTTACTACAGTATACTGTATATGTAACAGTGTTTAATTATCTCCCATTACATTACTTATGGCTTTGACATATATATGCCAAGGTTATCTGTGATGAGTTCTATAAAATCGTTTCATCATTGTAGGCTGGCATCCACATCCTGTACTTTCTCGACTATGTAGTAAGCTGTGGTTGGTGGCTCATGATTATACAACTTGTTCAGGTAAGAATCTTTAATAAACTGTAGTACTGTATATATTGGAGTCAACACTTTATGGCCCCAATTATATATTTCAGTGTGTTTCAACAATTGTGTGATGACAACCCAAGGTAATAGAGTTACCTTAGCCTGGGGAATTGACATGGAATATCGCCTGCTTATTATTAGTAGTACCATATAGTGTAACTGTCCCCCACCTTTCATGACAATGGAAACTACTGTACATATATCATTTGGCTCAGTCTCTCTGTACCCATAACTTAAGAACTATAAGAAATAATTAAAATTTTTGAACACTAAGCATTAGCAGACTCCAGCTAGCATCATACATTAGCTACTCATGTTTGGTTCAGGTCATAGTATTTGTTGAAGTTTAAAGGTCAACTTCCACCTGGGAAATTCAATTTGTCTCTCTTCCAAAACTGTTTATGCAACATGAATATCATCATGAAACAATAGCATATTGGGTGTCACCACCAGACACTGTGTCATATACATTTTTTTATATGATATGCATATCCCTTTTTTATGTTGATAACTGATTTGTATGTGCAGTTTAAGGTAAATGCTGGGGTTCAGAACTCTTGTGAATTAGAAAATTTTAAACTTATTCCCATCCTGAGTACAGTACTGATGTAACCTTCAGTAATTACACTACAGTATTACATTAACAATTACATTTTTTTTGATAATATAGTATTGTAAATTAAAAAGTTGTATCATAATCCACATCTATCCATTAATGATGTTTGAGTAGTGGTAGTGTGCTCAATGGTATAAGTTTTGTCACAGGTTAAAACATAAAATTGTACATCACTTTACAGATTTTTGCTCTGCTCTTTGTAAGAGGAAAACCGTACAGTGGGCAAGACATTGTGAGCGAACTGATGGGTAACAGTGAGCAGTGCCGGTCGCTGTGGTTGGGCCCTCTCACTTCCTTTGCATGGAATATTATTGTACCTGTTGGCCTTCTAGTCCTTTCTATTTCATCCTTCAAGTCAGGACAATACAGAGATGTAAGTTATGGAACTTTTTAAACATGATACTGTAATTGAGGTAAATCTTTCATTTTGGAAGATATTTTTTATTACAATATATTGTATCAATTTAAATCAAGTTAACAAATAAACAAGTAAGATATTTTATCAGAAATTATAATACAATGTCATTATCATGCAGGTTTTTGCATGGGGAAGTGACAGCTACTGGCCTGTGTGGGCGTGTCAACTTGCTTCAGCACTTCAACTGTTCCCCATCCTTCTGGTGCCCCTTGTAGGACTCATTCAGACCTGCCGATTCCTTGCTGCTACAGATGATGATCTCTTTGAGGTGTGTATTCAAATATTCATACTTAATAGAAAGAGAATAATTATGTTTGATGAAGAGAACTTTTGCATTCTATGAGTTAGCACAGTATATTATTTAAATGTAATTTGTGAGAGATTTAGTTTTATGTTGGTTGCTGGAAGAAAATATAAAGAATATATACTGAACCCAAACAATCCAATGAAAGATGTGTTGCATTCAAAACTTCATTCAAAAAATTCCGTGGGTTCAAATTACCACCTTGCAAGCCTAAGACTCCTTAAACTCATCTTTCTCATACTCAGGTTCTGGCCATATTCATCTCATCGCTTACTTTTTTCCACAAATACTCTTATCAGCTTACTAAACTTTCCGAGGAGTCTTCCCACTCTTTGAACATTTACCAAAGTGTTGTCAAGACCAAACACTGCCATATTATCAGCAATACGTATGCAGGTACTCCCGAATTCCTTTCTTCTAATTTTGTCTCCCACAGTAACTCTCCTGTATTATGTTTACCACACCCTCCATGGTCTGTGTCTCGTCTATGTTCATTACTGGTGTAGTTCACTTTATCTGCAACAATATTTTTTACTACATTTTGTGAGAAATTCCAATTACCTGGTGCGGTACTTTTGTTTAATCGTTAAACAAATACCTGTATATATTACTACAGTATTTAAGAAATTAAGTTTCCCTAACACAATTTATTTCATAAATCATATTGGAATATCAGTTTACATTAGTTTCATATAGTATGTAGTATACATGCTGTATTGTTTATCGTATACATATGGTATACATACTATGTACTTTAAACAGTAATTGTTTCAGTCCTTGCTATATTTTTTTTAAGTATAATAGAGTTGAAGTGAATTTATTTATTTTACAGAGAATACAGCTGTTATACAGACCAACATTACGTCAGCGTACCAGAGGAAATGGTAGCTTCCTCTCTGTCACCGAGGAGTCAGACCTAGATGGTCTTGGTGGTGGTAGAGATGGTCAAGATGACTCGGGAGCGATCCCAACTCCCCGACCATTTAGTGACCCACCACCGAAGTACACACCACCACCTTCATATTCCACAGCTACAGGAGTGAGGTAAGACTTATAAGTTATTACCAACATTCACTGTTTTTATGGGATATCATACAATAACAGTAATTAAACCCTCTTTTAATAAAATTGTACTGTGCAAGTGGATTTTCCTTCAGTCATTTTGTCCTCACTACATCTGCAGATGATAAGTGTGGAGACCAACATTAAGAATATTTAGTTTCACTTGTTTTTTCCACTTCATGCAGCTTGGACAGAAATAAGAGCAAATACACTAATTTCCCTTTATTTTGTCATTCACTTGTTCTTATTTTATGCTCATATTCTATGCTTGCATAGCCATCGCACACAAGCATGAAAATGGTCATAAAGATAACAGCTGGTTCTTCCTGTTGTAAAAGACATACTGTATTCAATTTTGTTGTTCCCTCACCAAAACAAGGCCACACATTTGGTTCACCCCCTGTTGCTTCACACAAACCAGCATCACCCACCAGCAGCACATCCCTCCCTAACAATCCATCAACATTATGTTCTCTGCTCAGTTCCCCCATTGTTCTTGTACTTCCTCTAACTCTCTCATGTTCTTCCAATCCCCCCCCATTTCTTTCATGTTTTGCAATGATCCTCCCATTTTCTAAGTTCCACAGTGTCCCTCCCATTCCTTAAGTTCTGCAATGTTCCTCCCATTCCTTAAGTTCTGCATTGTACCTCCCATTCTTTAAGTTCCTTTACTTTTTACTTTTATCCTCTTCACTACTGATCGGCTCGTTAACTGCTTGGGCAATCGGTCACTTCTCTGTTACTCACTGTTGGCAAGTCTGGTCTTGAAAGAGCTCACACTCGGTGCTGTCACAACACTCCGGCAGATTGTTCCAATTGTTCACAACTCTCATACCGAAAAAGTTACCCCTCACAGTTTTCTGGGCTTGCTGCTTCTTCAACCTTGAGCTGTGACCTCTTGTGGGGCGAGATTCCGCCAGCTCCAGGTAAGGGCACTCGACTGAGTAGTGCCCTTTGAGATGTTTATACACCTCAATTAGGTCCCCCTTTGCCTGTCTGTAGTATAAGCTCGGCAATTTCAGGCGCTCTAATCTCTCAGGGTAGCTGAGGTGCCGTAATGCAGGCACCAGTCTGGTGGCCCTCCTTTGGACATTTTCAATCAACTGACAGTCCTTAGCATATTTCGGGGAGAAAACGGGGTGATGGTACTCCAGGCGGGGAAGCACTTCACTCTTGAAGATCGTTACAAGGGATGGACCGTCTAGATATCTGAACGACCTTCTTATAAGACCTAATAATTTAGTTATCTGATTCACCTTCTTCCCGCAATGGACCGAGAACTTCAGTTCATTGTCAACATACACACCTAGGTCCTTTTCACATTCAGTCCCAATTAATGCAGTTTCTTCACCTCGGGACATCTGATACGCCTCCTTACCGTTGGTACGCCCTAGGTGCAGCCTCTTACACTTCATGACATTGAATCTTAGCAGCCATTTCTTTGACCATTCTTGAAGCTCACAGAGATCTTTCTGCAGCTCTTTACAGTTTGCTTAGTTCTTAATTTTCCGAAATAACTTGGCGTCATCTGCAAACATTTGTATGGAGGAATGTACAGCGTCAGGCATGTCATTTATGAAGCAAACAAACAATAGCGGGCCCAATACACTGCCCTGTGGTACCCCGCTTGTGACGAGTACACATGATGATACACTGCTTGCGGTCCTGGAGAAAGTCTCCGATCCACGATAGGACATTTCCCTGAATCCCGTACCCTTCCAGTTTAATTTTCAGCCTTTCATGGGGTACACTGTCGAAAGCCTTGGCAAAGTCTAGGTATATATTGTTGATATTACCACCCTGTTCCAGAATTTGGGTCCATATAGCCTGTACCTTGAGTAATTGTGTTAACCCCTCCGCCCTGGTTGATGTTCCGGGATTTCCATCTAGGGCGCCCCGGTTGCCTTTTCGCAACATTATTTGAATGCCCAGCGTGGGTTATCAGGTTCCAGTGTGACTATTTGCGTGTCATACCACATGCTCAGTCACAGGGAAGCTTCCTGAATGTAAGTATTGTACAGTACCTACTTTTGTTTGTTTCATTTTCATTGTTTGTCCATTTTATCATGTTGTATCAATGTAATTTTGCTAAAAGTAGTGTAGTTGTATTGTAGTGTAGTATTACTGGAAAATAATGCTATGATTATGTTATAAATGTATGTATTTGTGGAATTATTATTCCAATAATTATTTATATGCATTACTTGCTCTACCAAACACAAAGACAAGCAGACAGCCTGGCGATAGACTGCGTGTGTGTTGCCGAGCACTTTTTATGAAATATAATGCAAATAAAGTATACTAAATGAATTATTAATAGGAAAGAAGTACATTACAGTGATATCCCCGTTAGCCAGAACAATTGGTGCAGAGCACCAAATGCTGTATATACCAATAATATTGCAATATGCATAGGTGAGGCCAGTCCTTTATTTCAGCCAAAAGTCAAACGCAGGACCTTTGTAAGAATTTTTATTTTTTTATTTAGATTTTTGCATAATTATGTTTATTTCAGGTTTGCAAAACTTCTGAATCAAAGTTTGCGTCAGAGTATGAGACGTCTTCGTGAAACTCTACGTAACAATTCTGAAGCCAGTACGAACAGGGATGGTGAAGGAGCCCCTCAAGGGGTAGAGTGTGGACAGCCCAGCACAACAGCAGCAACTCCATACATCCCTCCTCCAGATTATGTGACAGCTGTCACTGAGTGTGGTACACAAAGAAGTCAAAGTTCCACATCCAGTGATTCACCACCTAGATACTCAACTTTAGACCCTTTGCGAAGGCAGCAAGCACTGGCAGCTCTAGCAAGTGCTGCTTCTTCCAGCACTTGTATTAAAACAGATGATGAGACAGAACTGCCATTACCTACAACTCCAGCACTCCATCGAAACAACAGTTTACGTAGGTCTGGGCTCAGACGCAGTATAGCTTCAGGTGTGAGGCGAAGTGCTCGGCGTCTTGCAGCAACACTGGGTGTAGGGGGAAGTGAGGATGGGGCCACATTAGTAAGTAGTGAAGCCCCAGTCAGTCAGGATGTTCATCCAGGCAGAGAAACTGAACCTTCACATCCATATGCTTTTACCAATTTTGAGCTGGTATCTCACTCAAATGCGTGAAGTTGCTTAGTACCAATGTTCCAATGAAAGAGTAGGCATTAATATTTATAGTTGAAATTTTTTTATATATACTGTATATGATAATGTTAATTGTTATGTTGATAGATTTTTTAAATACCGAAAAGTTCTATCAGTTTGCCCTCAGTTTATCATTACCAGATATATTAGTGCAATAAAGTAATTATTCCTGATATTAACAATTCAAAGGTACTGTACACTGAAATTTTTTCTTTATAACCTAGTTTCCAGTATAACTTCAACCTGTCCTCATTGAAATGCATACAGAATTGGTTTGATTAAAACATGTACCGGTATATAAATGATCATATTACTGTATTACGGTAATCTTTATATAGAGCAAAGATAAAACAGTTTCACAATTCCTATGTATACAATGTTAAGTATAAATTAGGTTAGGTTAGTCTGAATAGGTTTGGTTAATATAGCTTAGGTGTAGTTAGTTATGTACAGAATTGTACTTAGCTGTCAGATGTTTCCTAAACGTGTACATATATTTTTGTACTTATTACAGTAGAAACATTTTATGCATATGTCATATATGTTTTTATACGATTTAACAAGCATAAGAATGTACATTTGTATACTGTACAGTATACTTGTTAAGTGCATGAATTGACAATGAGGATAGGCTAAAAAAATTAATTGCATTGTTTGGAAACTTATAATAATGTTACTAGTTTTCACAATATGGAATTTCATTCCACATGCCAAAAAATTAATAAATCATTAGAAGATACTGTACTGTATATATATATTACACAAAAAATTTGTGATTATGGGCAATTAATGTTCTCTCGGATAATATTTTGCATTTGTCAATTGGTGTACGTACTGGGGTGCTTTTTTTCAGTTATATAGTTGCAAGTATTTTGACAATGACTACAGCATGTTTTATACATGTCTGGTTACCATCTTATAATAAACTTTTTGCTTCACTCAAATATTCAGATAATATCTTTGTGAAGCTGAGCATACATCTGCATAAATATTTTTTTCTTTATAAGATATATAAAAAGATTCTCTACTGCAGATTAAGCTTATAACTAAGTAGATGACCAGTTCTCATAGTAATGAAATAAGAAATTTAATATTATTTTGGCAAGGAAAATGGTATAAATGACATCAGCTTCCATAAACATTACTCTGTATATAATTTACACTCATTAGGATCATATTAAAAGCTTTCTACACATTCTGGGATCTGATTATAGTACAGTATAAATGTTTCAACTATTGCTAAGCTTTCCTCTCAGTGATCTGTAAGTTTCCTTTTATTATTTTTTATTTGCTTTGAAACTAAATTCCCAATTATACACAGCTTATGATCAGTGCATAAAATTCTGTAAATACTATCAGTCAAAGGATTTTATGTTATTAAAAAAAATGTGGTATGTACTTGTCATAGGCTTAAGTGAATGTGCCAAATAAGTATCTCTAAACTGAATAAAAACTTGCAGTGTTGAACAGAAGGTCCCAATCTACCCCCCCAAAAATATTGCACTGAATTATTCTTGTCCAAAAGCATTATGTTTAAATGTAAAATGGTCACAGTTGTCTACTACCACATGGTCAGTTGTCACATCGCCCTGTGTTCACTTGGGCAACACACTCACTATATAGCATGCTCAGCTGGTGAATGTGACAGTTTTGTAATACAGTACCGCATTTTCTTCACTTCATGCTAAACAAGCCAAAGTTGGGAGGTGGATCACTTCGTAGCACGGTTGCTATACAGATAAAAGATGGTAGTGGCTAAAAGCACTTACAGGTGTTCGTTCTGTAAATCGCTTTTATTTTTCTCCATATGATTGTGCCGTAGATTGAGGCAACTTCTGTGGAAACATAACTAATTAGCTATGGGAGTTTGTACCAGACCGAAAATACCACGAGGTTTGGGATGGTACAGTGTTATCCCTCACCACTATGTCATCATTGTCATGGGTTGGAGTCCTTGGCTCAGACACACATGAGAAGTGTGACTCTATCAAACATCACAGGTCTCCTCATGTGCTGACACTGGACAAATAAAGTTATATCAAAGTAGCAAAGAATGGACCAACTGCCTGAACGACTAGTAAACTGATAAGTGGCGAAATGATAAATAATAAAAAAATACCAATCAGAGGGAAAAATAAATGCCAACAGCTACAGTATTTAACAGACTGGTGCCTGCACTTCGGCACCTCAACTACCCTGAGAGATTGGAGCGCCTGAACTTGCCTGACTTATACTACAGATGGGCAAGGGGTGACCAATTGTATAAGCATCTCAAGGGGCACTTCTCGGTCGAGTGTCCTCACTTGGAGCTGGCGAACGCTCGCCTCACAAGGGGTCACAGCTCAAGATTGAAGAAGCCGCAAGTCCAGAAAACTGTGAGGGCAAACTTTTTCGGAGTGAGAGTTGTGAACTCTTGGAACAATCTACCAGAAAGTGTTGTGACGGCACCGAGTGTGAGCTCTTTCAAGACCAGACTTGACCAGATTCAGGTACATTCAGGAGCTGGTGCATGCCCAGTACTTGCCAACAGTGCATAACAGAGACGTGACCGATCGCCCATGCGGCTAACGAGCCGATCAGTGGTGAAGAGGATAAAAGTAAAAAAAAAGTAGGTTATATTCAGCCACAATAAAAATCTAATACTTAGGTTGAAGCAATGAGATAATTTAGTAATTTTTATTGACCAATCAGTGGGAGAATGAAACCAGCAACTATTAAACAAGTATACATGTACTGTATTCAGCTTCGGCCATATTGTTTGTTTATACATTCCTGTGATTAGCTGATTGATCATTCACTACACCTTCTAACTGACAGAGCGCTACATAGCATGCAGTATTGCTTGAGTGAACGCAGGGCTGATCGCTAACTAATTGAAAATTCTTATGATGGTGCTCTTGAATCCGAGAGATGATATTATTTTTATTGAATAATTTCTCCATATAATAGTGATGTTCAGTGAAATTCACTGAAACATTAGTTAGGAACTTTATTATTTATGTGAAAATGACACCAAAGTAATCCATATTAATGTTAGTAAAATGTAGTCTCATTTTTCTAAATAAGCAAGTTTTTCCTATCCAGACAGGTGATTTGCTCTTTGGCAATTCAGAAATCGAATTTTCATAAATCTCAGAAAATATGGTGAACAAAGGGTGTTAAATTTCAAATACAGTTGCAGGAGGTAAAGGTATAGTTGGTGGGGACTGGGAGATGTATTGTCCTTATGAAGGCTCAGAGCATTTGAGATTTAATCACTTGATTCCACTGTACAATACTAATATAAATCAATAAGTAATATAGGCAATGAAATTACTGGCGGACAACCCAAATTGAATTGTTGAATATAAAACCGTATACTGGTACAGTAATCCCGTGTTTTTCACGGGAATTACGTTACTGAAACTCCTCCCGAAAAGCCAAAATTGCGAATACTCTTTTAGGAATCACTGTAGCAACTAAACAGTAGAGGTAGGTCATGCACTTAACCACGCCATGCTCTCCACTCATGGCCCAGTGGTCACACTGATCACTGATGCACTGTACCGGCATTTACTAACATCATAATTTGAAACTAATCATATTGTAGTATAATAATGGAAAAACGTAAACACTGTTATATACAAAAAAAATTATTTACAAGTAAATAAAATTTTCATATTTCATTGAGGTTGGCAACACCCGCATTGCCAGCCTCTCCCTGAGTCCCAGCGTCTGCCCGCCTTCACGCAGTCACAGTAGCGTTCACAGTAGGGTAGGCACGTGTGGACTGAGGCTTCTTGGAGCAGCGGGTGTCTGAGGCGGGAAAGGGTGGCGTCTGTTTGTCGCACCGCACGGGCATATAAAAAATGGCGCAAAATTTAAATTTTTGTTTCTAAAGAATATATATATATATATATATATATATATATATATATATATATATATATATATATATATATATATATATATATATATATATATATATATATATATATATATATATATATATATATATATATATCTTGATAAAATCACACGGGAAAATGGAAACAACGGAGTACCTTAGCTTTCGTCTTTATTCAAGACATCTTCAGATATATATATATATATATATATATATATATATATATATATATATATATATATATACACACAGTCAACCCTCGCTTTACACGGTCCCACATTCCGCGTTTCCACGTTTACGTGGTACCCTGCCAAAACAGGAATGCTCACATTCCGCGGTGCGTGTACCCCTTTACGCGGAGAACGGCTGGCGAGCCGCGCCATTTTTGGATTCAAACCTCCCGCCATCTCTCCCGCCATCCGCCATGTGTAAGCTGCGCGAGCATGGTGCGCACAAGGTCGCCCAGTCATCAAAACATTACAGAGTTCTTCACCCGCCACCTACCACAGCCGGCCCAAGTCAGTGATAGTGATAATTATAGTGAAGATATGGACTTATATGGACTTTGAGGGGTTTGACAAAGAGGCCCTGCAAGCCTCTATGGTGGATAGTGATACAATTGATACAAGTGATACAGGTGAGGGCCAATAAGCTGCCCTCTGCCTCGGAACCAACCGCCCATCCCCGTGTGCCCAGCCATCTTTTCTACTAATGTAAGTGTTAGAAAACCTAATATTATTGATATTTCTCTTAATTATTAATTGTTTGTGCATACCATCATCAAGTTAAGATAATATTTTTACTACAACATAGTTGTGTGTTGTCAAAAAGTGGAGTTTGGGGGTCGGCCTGGACTCTATTTCAATTAATCCCATATGTTATGTTATTCAGGCATTGGGGTGGAAGAGAAGTCACCCCATGGCACCATTTCACCCGTTCTCTCATTTTCTTTCCGCAAAATGGCACACCGTTTAGTTGAAGAGAGTCTCAAGCAAGATGTTACCTCCAGTGAAAACAGAGAGAGACTAACGCCTGTTTGCTGTGTTAAGAGGTGGAGGGTAAACTGACAATAATTGTTATATTATATTATATATATATATATATATATATATATATATATATACTATATATATATGTTGATATAACCGAATTTTTGTTCGTTAACCGAATTGAAGATCCTTATAGGCAGTTCGTTAACCGAAATATAAACGATCATATATATATATATACTGTATACTGTATATAATTTTTTAGTAATACAAAACGCAAATGGTCAAAACCGCGATAAAATAAAAACGCGAAAAACACGGGATTACTGTACTCTATAAAGATATTTTTTGACTCAAAGAATTCTTCCACAAATAGTGTACCTATCAACCCTACTCGTATTCCATTCTCAAGTACAAGGGATGGTGCGTCAAGCTTCTTGCAAAAAAAGAAAAGAAAATAGAAGCCTTTAATCTTTAACATTTCCTCCTCTGCCTATTACTATTATTAATAATTATCTTTACAAACCCATTACAGTAGTTATCATTAATATTGACTGATATATTACAGATGCCTTGCAATTGCACTCTTGAAGAAAGATGTATCAGATGATACTTATTAAAGTAAGATTAACCCACAATTTTTTTTTTTTTGCATTTTCTGCATGTTTTCTTTGTTTAATATTTGTTGAAGATTTTAAAAGTGAAAACAGGCTCCATTATTATGTTAACCTATTAAGGCAGTGTAGATGCAACAACTGAATACAGTACAATGCCTGGAGCAGGTTCAGGTACATTCAGGAGCCGGTGCATGTCCAGTTCTTGCCAACAGTGCATATCAGAGACATGACCGATTGCCCAAGTGGCT